CCATTGAGAATAAGGGGTAAAATTACCCTGCCTAATGTACTGCAGCTAATGAAATAACCAGAGGAGGATCAATTCATCTCAAGCCCTGTGAACTACACCAAATCTTTTGCAGTCAGTATTATATTACCGCCCATTAATGGCCCAATGCAGAACTTTGTTATAATTAAAAGTTAACCACTGTGTCCTTTTTTGTACCATCTCATACATTTGTCATGTTTTTTAGTGATTAAAAGAGACCATGAGAATATGTTGCTTCAAGGTGTAATTGAACTAGGAACAAAAGATTTGTTACCATCATGGTCAGTGTTAGTATCATCTAGTGAATCGAAAAGTAAATAGCTTATATATCATATAATATGCTATTCTGCATCATGCTTGTTTTCATCAAGTGAAAGAAATAGTTTTAAGAGAATCATAAACTACCACTGACTCTAGATGACATTTAACACAGTTCTTTAGCTTTTCTGCTTTCTCCACCTTTAGGTAATGTTATTGATTAAAAAGTCCAGGTAGAGAAGAAAGGTTTACATCAAAGAGCAAGAAGTGTAAAGAAGCTTAACTTCAGTTCCCCGAAAACCACCAGTAGTGATGATTTCAAGATTATGTGGCTTTTGAGAAGCCGAGTACAGACTGTTAGGATGACATCCTCTCTCATTGTGCTATCTAGCAATGATTTAGCTTTGGTTCTTAATAGCAACGGGCCTAGCCAGATGTATTACCTTTTATTGCTATTTATAGCCAAGCTAGATTGGGTGAGCAATTTCTTTTGATATCTTCCATAAATATTTATTGTCTGAAAAGTCACACAGCGCTTCAACTATTCTATTATAAGAGATGGAACAAAGCAGATTTAGGGCAGTCAGAATATTATAATAGTCAGAAACGCAGTATACTTTTGATTAATAGCCACTTTCCTTTAATGGGGTGGCAGAGCTATTTAATTTCTCCTGGTACATAAAGTATATTATCTGAGAAGACTAAGTAGTATTGACAAAAACAAAAGGGGAAATCATATTCTATAACTGACCTTGGAAGACAATGTGTTTGTGCAGACATTAGCCTACCCTGCTTTGTGCATGGATGCATTCCGGTTTATACTTAAATTGTATTACTATTATTACATTATAATTGCTGAAAACATTGTTGGAAGCTCATGATTCACATTTTGTAAACCTGCAGCTTCCACTCCTCTAAAAATGCAGTATCTAATGAACCTGCCACAGTAGCATTTGCTGCTTCATGATTGCTTCCTTCCTGATTCAAGGCTATGCTGAGGCGACCAAGATATAGGCTCAAGTGCCTTGCAAAGTATTACCAGATAAGGAAGGAAGACAGCAGCATTAGTAAGAAATGGAAGAGGCCTAGAGATAAAGTGAAAGTGCCTGAGAGAAAGTAAAGAAACCAGACGAGCCTGTTTGTTCTTTTCTTCTTGGCTGCAGTGTTGTTGTGCTTCGGTAAAAGTAATACTCTAGAAGTCACATGCATTCACTGCGGCAGTTAAAGAAGTTGCAATTAACATATTTTTTCTCTTAGTAAATTATTCTGATAACACACAACAGTCATGAACAGACAGCAGCAGCATAAAAGTGCAAACGACAACACAATACTTAAAAATCTGTATGTTTTATTAAAAAATGTGCTTATAAAACAGTTAATCAAATAAAAAAACTTCACTTACATAAAACATACATTACATACATACAGTATCAAAAAACACACAGTCAGGAACATAAGTGCAGTAGTAACAAACATCATCAACAGCATACAGTGAACTCACATTTGAAATTGCTCATTCAGCATACAAATACAGTAAAAGTGTGTTTATGTGCCACTAAAACTCTTCCAGTAACAACATGAAAGACCTGGTCAACAATTTGGCACAAAGTCAGTTTAACAAATGTTAGTATCCATTAAGGAGCTTGTCCAAGTGAGGGTCCCTGAGAACACCTGTCAAATGTCTACGCCTGCAAGAAAGTGATGTGATTATTTCTATTCCGTCTCATGCGACGACCCTGCCTTTGGCTTGTGTGTTTTTTCCCTCCTGGAACAAAAAAGTGTTTAACAGCTTGTTAGATGTCTTGTTATGATAGTCTATCATTCTAATGCATATTTACTTTCTATAATTAAGCAAATAGAAATTTCTAGAGCCTTCCTTTTCTCTCAGTTATAATATAATGCTTTGTTGCAGATGAATAGTCAACCCCCCCGAGTAAATGATAATGGGTTCTTCAGATTCCAAGCAATTTTTAAGCCTGATAAGAAAATCAGCTGAACATTATCCTTTAACTTCCTGAATTATATCCAAATGCAAACCGACAAGTGGCTTTAACTGGCAATACAAGTCATTATTGAATTAAGGAATCTGCCAAATCTCCTCAAATTATCATCTTTAGTTACAGGCTTCATTGTGGACACTTTAACCACAGGAATTCCCCGCTTACACACCTCTAACACACACGTCCATGCAGCTCTGCCTCGAGACGAAGTTGTTGCTGCTTCCTCCGCAGCCCGAGTAGATGAACTCCTCACACATCTTGGTGGCTTTGTTGTAGTAATACCGAGGAATGGAGGCTGAACATTTCCCTTTGTCCAGAGGGTCCAGGCAGAGCACAGGAACAGCTGTAAAATAAGACACGGAGCACAGTAAGCATTCTTTCTCAGCACTAAGTTCCTTCCTTTTTTTCCTAAACAATAAAATTCAAACTTTTGGAATCAAATCGGGTCCAATATTCTGGCATTTGGCAATACTATTGCATTGTAGTTCACACATGCAGAGATGCTGGTCAGCATCACTTCAGGACCAGTGGTACCCCCAGAAAGTCAGATACATTGATTTCATATAGCCCACATTAAATTACTTTTAAATACATATAGGCCTTACATTGATTTAAATGAATAGCACCTTATGTAAAATATCACTTAGCAGTATATTATGAATGCATACAGCACTTAGATGCATGTATTGCTTGGTAGTGTCCCTGTGCAGGATTACTAAGTGGCAGCACAGTGTAAATGAGTTTATACTAACTTTTTCGTGGACTGCAGTACTCCATGCAAGAGGTGAGGTCTAGGAAGCGATTCGAATTGCCCTCGCAGCCGCCGTAGTAAAAGGACTCACACTGCATGGTGGTCATGTTGAAGAAGTAGCGGCGAAAGAGAGCCCGACACGGTCCCTCATCTTTATGAAACCTGCAGACTTGGGGAATCTCTGCGGAGAGGAGGGACACAATGTAAGGCTGGGGATAGTGGCATCCTAAGGTGTTTATGCACCTAATGCACAAAAAGAACAAACTTTAACAAGTCTAGCATCACATTTATGATTGTCTTAGTTTTCAGTATAAAATACAAGAGTAAAAACACACTACTCATTTAACTTTAAGTGGGCAAGGTCACCATCATCTTAAGTGTATGCTCATCACACTGAGAACCTACTTGGGATTCTGAAGCATGTTTTCTGGCACTCCTGATAACTCTTGAAGTTATTGGCGTTTCCTTGGCACCCTCCATAATAGAAAATCTCGCACTTTTGGGTGACAGTGTTGTAATAATAGCGCTCGATTTCTCCCCTACAAGGTCCCTCATCCACTTGAAGGAGGCACACGCCTGCAAGCAGAAAATACACTGTTAGAGAAACACGAAATCACCATTGGGGGGACGGTATTTAAGCTTTAATCATTGCTCCTGAACACCAAAGTGGCGATAATGCCGACATATCTTACCTTTAGGCGACAACGCCAATACGTTGTAGAACGAGGAAAGAAGCGTAAACAGCGCCAATATGCAAAACTCCATTGTGAAACTTTAGCTCCAAAGTCTTTGTCGCTTTGCCGACCATCCCAGCCACATCCAGTTTTATAGCTGAAGCGAGTGATTCCCAGGGGAAGTTTAGGGGCGGGGAGGTACTGACTCATTTTCATAGTACAGTGGAATTAGATTAGAGTGGTGATGAATTTATTAATGACATCAGAGAGAGGTTGTCTTTACGCTATTGTATTGCGTAAAGGACTGTTAATGTAGTGACTAAGGTCATATTCAACTAACTATGGTAACACGAGAGAGAGAGAATCAAAGGAAGAAGACTTTATTTTTTTAATGATGATGATGATGATGATGTATAGTAATCCACAGCATGATATTATACCAGAGAAGGGACATAATTCTTGCTTAGTCCCCCCCAACACACACACACACACACACACACACACACACACACTCGGCCTACATTTTTCAGCCTTGCGAATTTTTTTTGTTTTGCTTAATGATTGCAGCCACCTCCAACATTCTTTCAAGAAAACAGTAATGTCTTGCTCCAGTAAACGCTCAAGGTCTCCATTCCTTACTCGTAAGCAGCATTATTATACTTTAGTAGAAATGCACAACAAAACATAACTTTTTGGTTATAATTCTACCCCACTGTTTTTTTCCATCTATTGCTAAACATATTACTGGAAAACTGCCGTGCAGTCATGTTTAGAACAATGATGTTTCTCCACCTTGACAGGTGGAGGCTAAACACAGATTAGCCACCTTATCAAAGTGACCTGATACATGAGGCACCACCCCTTAACCCATTTCTGAAAATGAGAAAAAACAGTCAAAATAGCACAAATCCAAATTTTTATCTGCAATATACAGTAAATACAGCTCCTTGTTTTACGTATAATTCCCGTATAAGAACCCAAACAGACACCTGTGTGATTCACTGTTACTGAAGCATACTTCAGATACTGGTGTGATCATACAGAAGGGCCCTGTTTTAATCAGATTAGTGGATTAGGATTGTTTATGCAGATTACTTTATAACCCAGATTGAGGGTGATGAGAGGGATTCTTCAGCAGGACCTCGAGGGTGAAGGATTGCTCCCTTTAAGCATTCGTAAGTACATTTCTATCTTTTCAATTAATGTTTTAAAGTGAGAGTTTGTTCAGGATGACATTTTGTCAAATGGCGTTGAACATTATGCAAAACAATTGATATATATATCCCTTTTTGACAGAAAATGCCGGTCATAAATGTGGAGGACCTGACGGACAAGGACAAGGCTGTAATGGAAGTAAATCAACTGAAAATTGAAGTGAAACTTGAGAGGTGGTTGGTAAGTTGTTTTTGCACAGAGGCAATAAATAGGCCCGTGCCTTTA